CGATGGCTCATGTCGTTACCAAAGCGGAGATTTTGTAGTTGCCAGCACCCTCACACCCGTGACGAATGGAGTATGGAGCTCGAACTTCCCTGAGCAGAGGACAACAGTTCCATGTTGTCCTCTGCATTGCATACAAAGGGATGGGTAGATGCAGAATTTGGCCATTGTATGCCTATTTTTGAATACGGTTGGGGAGCACACAGTCGCTGTTATGGCACTGATGGATTTCCGGTGAAAATGAAAGCTCTCTTCAAAAATGGGACTCTATCCGATAAGGAGGGAATGCAGCGGTAGTTCACACCGCCTACAGTAACTCCAATTTTTGCAGAGGGGAGGGTGGGGAGGGCAAAATTCTTGCAGTGCGTAGATCACTCCGTTTCTGGTTTAGATCCTGCGCATCTTGCTCCTGTCACTCAAGTTGCTGCACGTACTATTGCATCGCATGCGCCTCCTTCGAATAGACCCGAAAATCGGAACCCCTCCCCCTGCCTAGATGCACCGACGAGTATTATGGTAATCCACTGCTATCCAAGTTGTCTTCGAATACTTCGATACCATGGCACCGTGTGAGAGCAAGTCAAAGTAAGCGGCGTTACGTTGAGAAACAAAAAATAAGCATTTTCACCATATTGAGTTCCTACTGCCACGACTTTAGTGGAGGTGAATAATACAGGCAAGGCCACGAAACTTTTCATGTGTACCAAAGAATAAAAAGCGCAACCTTTCACACCTCCTCGCCATGGTTATCTCGCGACCACCACCCTGTAACCTGCCTCTGGGTGGACCTCGCTTAATCAGCTGAGCCGAGTGCTGACCTAACTCCGACAACCTCATTATAGAGAATATTGATCGGTAATAAATTCGTTTATCATGTATCGTTAGAAAACAAATATCAGAAAAAATGAATGAAAATGAGAGCTCAAACTAATTTTTGGCTAAAAGCATTCGCAGTCCAAGCCGTCTTCATGCAGAACAGTTATGAAGTTGAAATTTTCGCCTAACTTTCCCTACAGGCAAACTATGTAATTTATGAATGAGCATACCTTTATGTAAGATCACCTCCACAGTATGAACAGGTGAGATGTCATCACAAGCACTACAATATTTGCAGTCCATCTCTAAGCATGTACTCAAGCTACTTCTGCAGCAGTCCTCTGCATGACTCATTCACTTACCAACTTTTAGCAGATTCGGCTACAACTGGCGCTCCACTATTCGAAGATGCAGATAAGCTGCCTGCTCCACCTCTTTACATGGATTCCAGTGCACTTCCTTTTACCGCACCACACCTTTTCAGGCCGTGACGAATTTTGTGTTAGTTATTTAATTGAGTTTGTTCATTACTGCGTGGCTTCTTCTCCATTTCAGGTCACCCCTCTGTCGTATTGAATTCGACTTCATCCCAGATCCCCTTTGTTTCTATCCCTGGTCCTGCTTCATCCTCGATTTATGCATACATTTCAGCATCACCACTTCCACCCCAAGAAATATCATATGCACCCGTCCCTCCGCTTTCGCAAACTACACGTAATATCATATCCCATTCCACCTGATAGCCTTACCAATTCTTAGCCACAGAATCTTCTTACAGGTACATTTCGATACACATCCATTCCCCCTCATCACTACACATACAATAACAATACAATATACAATATACAATACAATATGTCACTAATACATCTGTATAATCTGAATTTTTTTAACAACTACGCTAAAAATTTGTATAAATTAAGCTTTGGTTTGTTTCCGTAAATGTAATAAAGATAATAGACTAGACTTGATAATCAATACTGTGCATGAGAGCGATATGTTGGAGCGAGGTCAGCACTCAGCACACCTAAAAGCAAGGTCTACCCAGAGGCAGGTTACAGGGTGGTGCGAGATAAGGAGAGGTAACTTAGTCAGGATTGACCTTTCACACCTCCTCGCCGTGGTTATCTCGCGCCACCATTGTAACCTGCCTCTGGGTAGACCTCGCTTAATTAGGTGTGCTGAGTGCTGACCTCTCTCCAACATATCGCTCTCATGCGCAGTATTGATTATCAAGTCTATCATTACTATATTCACGGAAACAAACAAAAGTTTAATTTATACAAGTTTTTAGCATAGTTAACAAAAAATTCAGATAATACAGACGTATTAGTGACATTTCTCGACATCCTACTGCGAAGTCATTCTATTTCTTCTTGAGATGTGTGCCGTTTTGGCAACACTTTTTCATAAATATTAGGTTGGCCCATAATTAGTGAATCACTTTGAATTTATTGCTATAAATTCCATGAAAAATCTTGAAGGCGTGAAACATGTTTTGCCAAGTAGTGACCACAATGTTCTACCTAAGCAATCAGTCAGCCCGTAATCCACATGTTTTTGTTTGTTCGTGTTTTTTTTTTTTTTTGTGCGGCAGTCTTTCCGAGGCTCAAATTTCAATTTTTCTGAAATCTTCCCCCAAACACGATATGAAATCGCCGTGTTCGCTCCTGCTTCCCATAGTTCTTTTCAGTGATCATCCTGCATACTCACCGGTGTTGTGAAGTGGGTGGAGTGTGCTAGCAAATTCACAAGGAGCAGCAGAGTAGCTTGAAAGATTGGAGAGTTGACAACAAAAGCCCAACCACCTCTGTCGGACCTGTATGTCTGGCACTTCTGAGATTTTAGTGGGGCACAGAACAGACCTGGCGCTGGGAACCAGAGCCTAGTAATACTAGAGTCAGTGAGTAAGGCATACGTTGACAGCATAATGGCGATGCGTTTCTATCTGAGGGTAAAGCAAGACAAAGTCTGGTTTTTTCCTGAGGTCATTCGACCCCACCTTTCGGAAAATCTTCATAAAAAATTGCAGACCTTTGGGCTAGCAGTTCTTCCAGCTCTACCGTGAAGCCCTACCCTCGTATCAGCGAAAGATAACCTAGACTTACTTATACCATTATTCTTCAGGAAGAAATTTTACGCCAAGTGACATGACCTCAAACCTGACTTCCGATCTTCCTTTTATCAAAATCTCCTGGAATTCCAGAGAGGAGACGGCGACCAAATTCCCATGTGTAGGCAATAGTTTGTGGATAACAAAGGTGGATGATTAGATGAGCAAGCACTTCATATGAAAAAGAAAAAAATTGAAATTGAAAAATGCCCAAAGTGATTCACTAATTATGGGACAACCTGATAGCTTGCCTGTAGAAAAGTTAGGCGAAACTTTTAATTTCGTAAGGTGAAACTTCAGTTCGGGGGCCACTCCATTGCTAACTTATACGTAGTACTAGAGAGCATTCACTTGTGCTATTTTGTGCTATCCAACACTATGATAAGATAATAAGTAAACGACCCATTTTAAGCGTACTTTTGATAAGGCCTGGTGGATGCTCTCCGTTCCACACATCCTGCCCACATCTATCCACTTTTCTACCCAGGTCATCCACCTTGGAGCTCAACCCCTTAGATAGGTAGAGGTGTCCATTATCCTTGTCTAGAACCTTTTCATGGACCATGGCAGGCGAATATGTGAAGAAATCTTGGGACTTCTTCCACATTACAGCGATACTAATCGGAATCTGAATGAGCCGATTACGTGTCATTAGTGCTCTCATCCTTATCTTGAGCATTGGAGAAACAATGGAGTGCCCCCCCCCAATCTGGAGTTTCTCCTTCCGCACCTGTTCTGCGTGGAAACGGCTCGCTCTGCGAGTGCTGTTAGCTAAAAATTAATTATTTTTGAGACCCATTTTTATCCTTTTTTCTGAGATTTTGTTTCCTCTAACCGCTACTGCATGAATGAATTTATTAGATACCAACATCAATATATCTTCCATAAGTCCGTCTAGCTGGGTCAGCACTTAGCTCAGCTAATTAAGTGAGGTTCACCCAGAGGCAAAACAAAAGAAAAAAGCCAGAGCAGGTTAGCAGGGGTGCGAGATAACCACGACGATGAGTTGAAAGTCAATTCCTTACTAAAGTCCACACCGCGAGATAACACTGGCGAGAGTTGAAGGTCAGTCCTACTAAATTCCCTCTCCCGTCTCCAGCGATGGTGATCACCAACGCGCCGCGCACCAGAAGCCGCAGTCTTGCGATCCTGAACGTGGCCGCACCGACACCGGTACGGCTTCCTCCCTGTGATAGGCACAGTACTTTCGCAGTAGTCGGCTGAGAACGTAGCGTCGGGCTCCCTCTTCGAGCATATTCAGCGAATTTTCGATGATGGCATACACAAGGCATCGACGACCGTCAACACATCGTTTGCCCTGTTTATATTCAGTTTTAATTTTTGTCGGAAGAGTAGATCCGTGTAGAATAGATGCCTATCGATCGATAGAGGGTTCCTTTGAACCAACCGGAGTCGTTCGGATCTAAATATTTTTTTTGCGTTTTCGCCAATTCCCAGCTGAACGGAGCAATCCGATCAATACTAATTCAATCCTTTTTAAGAACCTTCCGATTCCCGCTTCGACGCTAAGCATGAACGCGGCCTCATCGACTATGGCCTGATTTCAGGCTTGAAAATATTCAACCTCAACTTTGTCACATGCCACGTTTCCAAATGCAGATAATGCATTTTTTGCTTTTATTTGTAAACTTGTGGAAGAATCGTGGACGAATTTTCAAGAAGTTCATGATTTATCGGAACTCGCTCCTGTCTTTAAAAAGTTGTACTTGAGTACCCAGTGACATAAGAGCTGCCTTCTGACTTTGCCCGGCCGGACAATCAGCTGGTAGGTAGCGATCGATCGACGAGGGTGTGGGGTCTGCACAGCATGCAGACATCACGAAAACGCCGGTCAAATGATGACATAAGGTGCCTCCCGTCCTCTCCCCTCTGTGTCATCACTAATTCTGTTTGAGTACTTCCTCCCTTCTTATCGTTATCCTTATCCTCCTATACACCCTAGCAGATGTCTATTTAAACCGAGCTGTTCGTGATGTTTTCATTTCTTTATTCACTTTTAGACTAATCGTTGTACGGAGACCGCAACTCCACTGAGATTCGTACATCACTGACTATGGAATTAATGCCAGATCAAGCCGAAAAGCTTCGACAATTTCAGGTATTTAGGCGTTTTCGAAGTAATCGATATGTATGTTTTTAACTAGGCCTTTAGGAGGTGACAAATGTGGCAGAACGTGACTTGGCCGCTGCAAGACTCGAATCTGTGGGATGGAATCTGGAGCAAGCGATTGAATCATATCTGTGTGGAGATGGCATTATAGCAGATGACGTGGAAGTGCTACCTCCTCCAGCGAAGAATCATCGGAGAGAACTGCCGTGAGTATTTCATCACTGCTCCCTTTCGCCGTCATACTTACACCGAAAATGTGAGTAGCAGAGGTTCTCATGAGTCTTCTTCTGCGCTCCTCATCAGGGAAATCTCTGCATCATATAACCAATTTCAAGAAGCATTAGGTCGCGTTCATAGTTCACGGCTGATAGAACGTGACAATGAGAAGCCATGTATGTATCGGAAAATTAAGAGATCAGTTGGTAGGATAGTTGGATATTTCGCTGAAAAGATCCGAAACCTATCGTTTGGTATGGCTGGGAAGTTGATTACGAGGTCAGAATTGTAGTAGATTAATGTAGTGTGGTGAAATGATCAGATACGTATTGATTGATTCGACTGAAAACACCTAATCAACTAATCTCCTACTATCCGACCAAGGCGCGCCTAATCTTTACAGTTGAATATCATAATATACTCCTTTTCTAATATCCTGTCGCCTGCTGTTTAATCTCTCGAGTTGTCAACTATGAACGCCGCCTTAGCTTCAATCATTTTTCGTGCACGCAAAATGGCCGCAATGTTGCGGTGCATACCACTGCAAGCATATCAGTATTGTCGTCATTCTAGTGACATATGGAAAGCGCATTGACCCTCTTCGAATGGAACGATCGAAAATGAATAAAAATCAAAAATATCTGTGAAGCTAGCTAGCTCCAAGGTTTCCCCTACTCTCACAATGAGATAGTGTCAAACATCTAAATGGAAGTTGAGGATCCACAGCTGCCTACTTTCCATGTAGAACGGCTGTGGGCCATAATCCTGAGTTGCCCTATGGCCACTCTTAGCGCCGAGCTTCGTCTACATGCGGATGGAATTTACAGGAATTGCGCATAGAAGTACAATATACAATGCCGTATAACTCAAATACTTGCTGGATGTATTCTCAATCAAAAGGCTTTATCCTTTCATTGCTTGAAGCAGCGAAGCAGCCCTAAGATATTGAATTTCGAATTCGTAGCTCAAAAGCAACACTCGTCCTGTATCAGTTTGTCAAGCGACGTCAATTAATCGGGCCTTACCATTAGTGTACAGCCATAAAACTTGGTAATTTTAATGCTACCGCCAACTTGAGCTTTTTTAGACTCGTAATAGCAACAGATCGAAATCATATTTTCTAGAAGCAGATTTCTTGCCTACCGTCTACTTAAGTGTCATCTTACAATACTGTTCTGCCTTCGGGAAACTGATGAATCTCAAAAATGCCTATAGCGTGCCAGACTCGCCGACGCAATCACATCAAGCTTCAGCCGCCGTCACGAAGTGCGCCACGTGCCTGGGGCCTCTCAGACAGAATCGGTCGCAGGCGAAGCTATTCTATACGTCGCGTTTACACTTTTGCAGTAGTGAGTGCACCGTTGTGCATCTTGATTGACATTGGAAGCGCGAAAGTGCAATACTTGACACCAGTCTGACTGTGCAGTCGCCGAGTCTGAGGCAGCACAGACGCCATGTCCAAAGCTGGTGTCAGAGTTTACGATCTGTCGCGCGGATTGCGCGACGGCTCGCAGACAATAACGCCAGTGTAACACGTATATTATGAACGGATAGGTGCTTTAATTTTCTGAGCCACAGTGTTGTTATAGTCCTTTCACTTGACATTCTCGTGCACAGAAGTGGAAGTTTCGGAATGTTGAGTGATGACTTGTTTTCTGGTACTGAAGTGCTTGAGTGAAATGCTGCAGTTTACCCCAGAGCTCGTTTCTCCTTTTTACAGTATTTTCAAACATCAGTAGCAGTTAGTTGGACAATGTATGGATTTCCTCTCTCCAGATATTCCTACACCAAAAGCTACTTTTTTTAGCTCCTATTCGTGGTGTAATTGGTAATTTTCAACACCCCAACACGGTCTGAACGCATTGGTGAACTATCAACTGGGATTGTGCTGTGACTTATAGCTCATAAAAAATGTGACAAATTGCTCAAATACCGTAATCGTGAACTCGTGGAACCTGTAGTTTACCTACCTATTCATTTTCGTTTGTCATGACGTGGTTCATCAAAAGTGACACGAGTGGCTGAAGATGAAGGAGAAGAAACGATGCTAGTTAATTTTTGAGCGAGTTCTTCAACTTTTGTACGTCTTTTTGAGCGAGTACTTCATTTTTTGCACGTCTTTTTTCGAAGGTCTAGGTTTTCAGCGATAAAAAGAATATTGGAAAACGTAAAAAAGGTCGACCTCCGAAGAAGTCAGTGAAAGGAAACCGTGCCGTGAGTTACATGCTAAAAGGAAGTATGTAGTGGTTGTTTTAATGCAACGGCCAATCCATAAGAATTTGCATCACGCGCTACTACTAACGAACCAACTAGTTTTGTTTTAGGAATTTGTTTCCATTTCAGCTATAGAATCGGGGCTTTTCCAACGTTGTCGTTGACTTTAGTAAGTGCTTTCAATATTTACAGTAAAGTTTCAGGGATTTTGATGAAGCAAAAGAGGAGGCAGACGCTTTAGAAGTTTTGGAAGTGCTCAATAACCGTAGAAATCGGCAGGCAAGACGTGCGCATCGTGAAGTTGATGGAGGTGAGTCCAATAGAGCGATATGTTTTCATTAAGTTTTCTTCGTGACACACAGGGCGCCAACTTGATATTATTTGTGTTGCTGTTCATCAAGATTGGTAGATTCAGCAAACCAATCCGGTTCTGCTCTACTTTCATAACAACTACTGTTCGTTGATTCGTTCGGCGAGCTGTAGTCTGTCATTGCGTAGAGCGGACTACGGTGGTCTTCAGACTGCTTAGGGTGCCGAATTTTGCCTTTGAAGAATAGGTTATCGCCATCACCTCACATATTCCATTTTTGACACACTCTAACTCACGGATAACTAGACTACTAATGTTAT